ATGCAAGTGCCAATTGTCCGCCGTCCACATATCTGGTCTTTTGCGCCGAACTGCGTCACGGAGAACATCTTGATAGTACTTCTTTTTTTTGTCCTTCCGGTGCGTATTCTAGATGCACAATTCCACGGACATCAAAGAAAACAGTCAGCATCACTTTGATTTTGCTTTGCACCTGACGCGCTTTCTTCGCCCTTGGAGAATCGGGATGCTTCCATTGCGACGACTGTCTTTTTGTTTCTGGGTCGTACCCATACACCCTTGACTCATCTCCAGTTATCACAGTGTTCAGAAACCCAGGATCAGTGTTGGCGGTGTTCAGAAGGTCTTGTGCAATGTCAAAACGAAGATCTTTTTATTCCGGCGACAACAACTCGGGTACGAATTTCGCAGCCACCCGGTACAGGTTCAAATCTTCATGCAAAATTTCATGTGCGGAATCTTTACTCACTCCAACCTCTTCTGCAATCTCCCGCACTGTTAAACGACGATCTGCCGTTATCAAATTTCGCACCCTCTCAACATTAGCTGCACTCCGAGCAATTTGGCGCCTGCGGCAACGCTGCTCACTCTCCGCTGATGTGCGGCCATCTTTGAATCGGTTAAACCACTCCTTCTCCAAACACCTACTGAATCTTACGAATTGTTTGGCTTTGAGAATCACCAAGCTTTTGACAGAATTTGATGCAGTATCTTTGCTCCATTCGAAAAAACTAAATTCGACGAACTAAGAACAGAACCTTGCTTGGCGACCACTTCACGTTTTGTATCTAAGGAAAATTATAAAAAATTATAATATCGGTTCTAAGGTGCGAATTATGCTTCATCTTAATTAATAATATTTTTTATTTAATACATACAATCTTTATACAATTTTAAATAACAAAAAGAATAATAGCCGAACTTATAAAGCATCTTTGAAGTTACCACAAGGTCATTATAATGAAGGTCCAATAGAGTTGGGCGATATTCCAGGAAACTGTTCTCTGTATCTGTAGATAACATGTGGATGGAAGGTAGATTACCCATCACGACACTTAGGCCTCACTAGACCCATTGTGCAGCCTCCTAGGTCGTAAGCCTGTCTACAGATTTGATATAGTTCACAACGTCGCCAAGAGGTGCTTCTCTTATATTTGACCGGTGTCAGATAATTATCGCCGAAGATACGCTCGATGTTTTCATCTTCTTGTTTGCACCCCCTACAGAGTGCGGATTCTGACAACTCCATGCTATGTAGATGCTTCCGTACTTAGCAATGACCAATCAGAATGCCTTTGATCAGGTGCAGATTTTGTCTAGTCATAGTCAAGTATTTGTTTGCTGTGGTGTTGTTAAGGTAACTCAAAAGCTCCTTGGTAACTTTGTAGCTTCTTGATTAATTTCCTCCTTTCTTGAATTTCACAAGAGGATGTTCTTTCATTAGCTTTTTCACTACCGATGTTGTCAGTCCAATGGAAGAGTGAGATCCAAAAAAGTATTTGGTTGGCTGCCTTCTTTGCTAGTGAATCAGCAAAGCGGTTATCTTTTGATGTGACGTGACCTTTAATCCATCTTAAGGTGACCACATTGTTGACAGATACTTCGGCTAAAGTTTTGTGACATTTTAATACTAACCCTAAATAAATAAGTAGTCTGTCCAGGGTAAGTAGTGTTTGTCTGTTAACTGTAGAGATGAGCATGTCCCTTCCAATGATAGTGTTCATGAGGTTTTCGTGCTTTCCGTAAATCATATTTGCAACCTTATATTAAGGTGAATACAGCACCCCTTATAATTTTCGGACAAGGATATTTCAAAAAGTAATTGTGTTAAAAAATTAAAATTTTGGCAAGACAAATTAGGTAATATTATCTAGGTATGCATATATTTTAAAGTTTAAAATCCTTTCAGTTTCCGAAAAAAAAATCAAAGAGCTTTAAATTTTAAAATATAGTGAAAATAAATACATTCCTCAACAGCACTATTCTTAATATAATCCTGAAATTTGAGCTCTCAATGTATTGTCAATGATTTTTTTAAAATTCGCCAAAATTGGTGGCTAAGCCGCATCGTTAAGTGCTGATTTCTGGTGTAACGCCCCTGTAACTATCGTAACTCTCAGTCATAATTCGTTTCTTGCAACAATATACACCAGTTTACACCAGAAGATAGCACTTAACGAGAAGTTTTAGCCACTAAATTTGGCGAATTTTAAAAAATCATTAACAAGACAAAAAGAGCTTAAATTTGGGGATTATATTAAGAATAGTGCTGTTTAGAAATGAATTTATTTTCATTATGATATATTTCAAAATTTAAAACCCTTTGATTTTTTTTTTCTCGGAAACTGGAGGAAATTAAAACTTTAAAATAAATGCATATTCTAGATATTATTACCTAATGTATTTTGCCAAATTTTTTTTTTTTTAATTACTTTTTGTTATATCCTTGTCCGAAAATTATGAGGGGTGTTGTAGTCACCCACGTGCCAACACTTAGGAATAGCTAGACTAGGTTACTATTTTAATCAGGGCATACCACCCTGAAAAGGAGGAGAACTCCTATACCAGGGTGTTAGTGAAATAAAACTTGAGAAGTAAATATTAAAAAAATATATATTGTTTTTGGGAACTTCTTTTGCTGCTAAGAGAATCCCCATGAGCTCGGTTTAAATTGCTCACATTCCATTTTATATTTAGGTTTAAGGGCCTTGGTTTGTTATAAAATCGTCGTTGTATATACCCACTTCCGGCTCTTCTATTTGTTCGATTATAACTTTATGTGGCTTATGGAAGATATATCTCGGTGATATAGAGTGCATGTTCGCTGGAAGCAGTCCCGTCTCACTAGATTACATCAGGTTCTATTCCAACTGTGCGGAGTCGTGTCGTTGCCATCAGAGATATGATGTAGATATCAAGGGGAATGAGACTAAAAATGATTTCCATTTTGTTCTGGTTTGCGGATAGCTATCAATTGTTAGGTTTTCCATACCCAGGCAACTGTACCATATGCCAGAATAGGTCTTATAATGGTCGGGTAAGTCCATTTGACGACTCCAAGGTAGAAACCATAGGTGCTGACCACGGTTTTGTTGGCAGTGTTTATAAGCAATGTATGCTTTTTTTAATAGCTATGGAAGTTTTAGTTCCATTTTCTTCATTTTTGTTTGTGAAAAGAACAATTTATGTCCTCTTGGGATTGATAGGCAGAAGGCCACTGCGGCCTATTGTACCACCATTTGAAGATCCTACTACTTTATCGTTCACCAATTCACTCCATTCACCGTCATTTATTCCAAGTCGTCGATGGATGGTTAAACGGTATGATGGAACGTCCTAGCCAGCACGCATCCACGACGTGACCGGCCAGATTACGGCTTAACCATGGTATAAAAAATAAAAGGTAGGATATCAACAGTGTCAAAAATAGGACGGCCTCGCGCATGACGTCACGCGTAAAGTTTGTATAGGCGCGAAATTAAAAATACTGACGAAGGGTGAGCAAAATATATGCTACTTACAGAAATTTTATGAATAATATGGATAATATTTTAGAAATTACATGAAATATCCATGGATATTATTATGGAAAGAACTATGAAGTAACATAAAACAAATATTTTTTTCAACAGTTTTTCCTTTTTTTAATGATTTATTTTGGTTATACAAATTCGACTTCTAAAGAATAGTTTTTATAACCAGGATAATAAAATAAAGGGTATCTTCGCAACTCGAAACTGGGGATCCTGGTAACAATTTCGCACCTGGGAATGCCGGAAATTTTTACCTGATTACGATTTGCAACTGGTTACTCATTTACTTGCATTATATTACCCAATTGAATAAAAATATGTTTTAAAAAAATATTTTTTTTTTTTCATATAATTCGTAACATTCATCTAATATAATGCAAAACATAAAAAAACATAGTCGCTGACAGTTTTTTAATTCGTTCATCTAGTACAAGTCGAAATTTTTTTTTTGTTGACATTTACAATTTCACTTTTGCTTATATTGCGAAAATTTTAGCCTTCAAAGAGTAGAGTCTCCAGTTTAGACGTCCCAAGTTGTGAATGAACCTATGTGATTCACACTGGTTCATTCCCAACTTCACATTATGTGAAATTCTGATTTTAGGTCCCTCTTATAATTGGAAGAAGAGAAATTGAAAAGAACTTTCTCTATTATTGTGTAAGGAATATAGAAAACTAAAAATAAGAAACCAAACAATATTAGGAACAACGACAAATAGTGCGTTCAAAACGTTGGTAATAAAGCAGTAAATAATAATAATAATAATAAATAAAAAATGTCATGAACTACCAAATATTGATTTGTCAGTTTTACATTGTTTTATATTTTTAAACCAATCAAACCTGAGTAATGTATTCCTAAAAATACCTAGTTGAAAACACAAAAAAAATTATTTGGTATGCGATATTTCAGACTACGTGTTTCACATGATTCACTTTATTTTGAGAAAAAAAAAAAACAAAAATACACATTGTTGTGAGAGATTTTTATTAATACTTGTACATCATTATACTGTTTTGAATCTTAAAAATGATTCAGCTAAAGCAAAAAACGTGTAACATTGTAAAGCGTAAAGGAATCTAACAAATTATATATGAGAGGAAACATGTTTACCAATAGTCGAAAGCCATCAACAGGATATTCATATTGAAATTATGTTTAAATATCTCTCCCTTTCTTCCTGACAGATTCCTTTCCTGTCTCTTTGAACTACCGACTTGCATCAGATTAATATCGACCCTACATGGTAGGGAAATTAATTACAATCTTTGTGACATAAATTATTTAAGGTGAATGACTTTGAACTGTTTGTTTATACCATAGTATACTTATAGATTGTTTCTACAGCCAAGCAAAATGAAAAATGGTTGTTCTTTAAATAATTTTTTATTCTCTTCGTAATACTTATATTTGATTTTATTTATTGAAATAAAAAAACGTTTGTTTTTACTTTGCAATATTTTGACGTTCGATTTCTTTTGTTTCAGGAACACAAGAAGGAAAAATGCCCTCGCGGCACCCCTTCTTGATTTGTCTTCTGTTCATCTGCACGTCAATATTATTCGTCGAATCACAACAAACAAAATGTTTGGATATCGAAGGTAAGTTACTTTTCTTAAAAACCATATTTAGCTTATATTTTTATAATTTTTGAAAATTATAATCATTCGGGATCTAATGAATCAAAGAGCAAATAAAAAAATCACATGTATAACATTCTCAACTGTCATAGTTCATTCCCCTCCCTTCCGTTACTGTAACCAATACAATTTAAATAGGGAAAGTATTATTAAAATTAGCATTCAAATGAAGTGTCACACTTTACAATTAGTAACAGTTTTTTATCCCGCTAGAAGGCGCTAAAATCAAAATTAACGCAATGAATAGTCGTATTGCCGAATTCTACATATAATTATCTTTTCGATGATGTATTTATTATTGTACGGGAAATAATCTGGCAGTACAGAAAATACCAATTATGTATATAAAAAACTTTTATACTTCACTTCTTATTAACTGACAATAATTTTTTTTAAATCTATATACAAGGTGACAACAACAACAACAACAACAACAACAACAACAACAACAACAACAACAACAACAACAACAACAACAACAACAACAACAACAACTACTACTACTACTACTACTACTACTACTACTACTACTGAGAGGCAAGCAGAAGAATACTGTGCAGCGTGGTGGAATCCATAATGATGTATGGCGCTACTACATGGCAGCGAGCCATTCACAAAAAGGTCTACAGGGATAAGCTCCTTAGTGTTCAGAGAAGAACAGCTATAAGAATGGTCAGTGCATACCGGACAACTTCAACAAAAGCCCTGCTGGTTATAGCAAGAACACCGCCTATAGATTTATTGGTAGAAGAAAGAAAACTTATAAGACAAAATGTGGAAAAAAGAGATGCTCGCAAACAAATAGTAGACAAATGGCAAGAGGTGTGGGAAGTCAATGATGGAAAAGCAAATTGGACACAGCGGCTAATAAAGGATATAAGGCCATGGATCAACAGAAAGTGGGGAGAGGTCAACTTCTACCTGACCCAGATCCTGTCTGGACACGGAGGATTTCAGGCCTACCTATACCGATTTAAAATTAGCCAGACAAACGAATGCTCATATTGCAAGCTAGAAGATAGTGCTGAACACACGTTCTTCAATTGCGAAAGATGGATACAGGTTAGAACTGAGACTGTAAATAAAATAGGGGAATTGACACCAGAGAACCTAGTTAATAAAATGCTACAAAAGGAAGAAAACTGGAAGACAATAAATAAGATGGCCATGATAATCATATCCACAAAAATGAAAGAAAGAATACCAGAAGAAAGGTAAAAAACAAGAAAGGAACAAAACAACATCTAGCTCCGCCGACCTATTCGAAGTAATGCCTGACGGCAGTCCCAAATAGGTTCCTTACTCAGGCGATGGGGTGGGTTTAGTGGGTATACCGGCCTTGCACCCTTCAGCCGGGAGTCCTACACTACCAGGTACGGGCAGAACCACATGCCTGGTGTCCGTAATGGATTCCCACCCTACCAGAAAAAAAAAAAAAAAAAAAAAAAAAAAAAACTACTACTACTACTACTACTACTACTACTACTACTACTACTACTACTACTACTACTACTACTACTACTACTACTACTACTACTACTACTACTAAATAACAAGTGTATAAAACTTAATATCCTCCACCCCGTGAAGACTTGCATTCTTCACTATCCGTAGCAATTAAACACAATTTTGAGACTGGTCGCTTATAGATGCCTTTCTTGGTTGAAACTGAAACGACTCGTACGACACCATCTTTACCAGGGTATGTTTCTAATATTCTGCCCATCAACTATTCATTTCTCGGTGCCTTCTCATCGATTATAATAACAAAATCGTCGACATTAAAGTTCCTTGACTTGGAAAACCACTTCTGACGAAACTCCAATATCTATCTCTTCCAGTAGGCATTTGCTAAAGTTTCCGCAAACAGCCACTGATTTCTACTGATGACGTCACCAGGTACTCAGCTTCGGTTAAAAGAGTTTGCAGTACTTCTTCCTTGGGATGAGCTGTCTTCAGAGTTACTTTTAGAGCTGTTTTAATCGAACGAATCATACGCTCCCAGATTCCGCCCATATTCGGGGCTCCAGGAGGGTTGAACTTCCAAGTCACACCCTTAGAAGATAGTTCATCATTTATCCTGTGATTATCTAAATTCTGGATGTACTCCCTTAGTTCTCGTTCAGCCCCTACGAAGTTTGTCCCGTAATCTGTAAAAATTTCTAAAGGTTGTCCCCGGTGAGCCATAAATCTTCGTATCGCGAGGATAGTCGAGCTTGTGTCCAGAGATGCAGCTATTTCAATATGCACTGCTCTTATTGTTAAGCAGGTAAAGAGTACCCCATACCTCTTTTCATTTCTTCTGCCTACTGTTATGGTGATGGGACCAACGAAGTCTATTCCAACATAACAAAATGGAAAGACATAAGGTTCTAGCCTTTCTGGTGGTAGAAGCCCCATTTCTGGCGCAATAGGTTTCGCTTTTCGGATTTTACAATCTCCACAGTTTTTAAAAGACTTAACGGCTGAACGTGTATGCAGTATCCAGTAGGTTTGCTGTATATTACTTATAACGGTTTCCACTCCTATGACTGCTGGGCTTCGAATCCCAGACCGGACCATGTAGATTTTTAATTAAATTGCATGGTTCTGTATAGGATTTGATGTGTGCCGTATTAATAGAAATTCAATTTCTGTTGATATGACATGCAGATTATAAAAAATCGCCATACATTACCATCTCGATGATGGTGGGTGAGGTTTTCCGGGTTTTCCTCACCTATAAGTCAAATGGCACCATCAATCATCTTTAAGTCGCCCCGGAGCGCCACGGCAAATAATAATAATAGCCGTCCCTTTCCCCGCACAAGCTCAGCTTTTGGGGTTAAAATTCACTCGTAAGGGGGTGAATTAGGGAGAGTATTATTATTATTAATATTATTATTATTATTATTATATGACCGGCCGTCTTAAGAACGTCTTTGAGTTCTCACATTAATACGTCTGAAATATGGCTGACACAAAAAAGACGTCTTTCAGACGTCGTGTGCTATCTGGGAATAACATGTACCTAAAAGCACATTTACTATAGAAGACAACGAAGTAAAATTAACAATACAAAATATCTGAACAGTATTATAGAGATCGTAATACATATAATAAAAAAAAAAAAAAACAATTTATTATTAACCTTCACAATATTAGTGTAATACTTATATATGTATTATAGTTTATAAAGTTTTTATAGGAAACAAAAAGAAAAAGTAAATAACTAAACAAATGAGCGAAATTAATTAATTTAATACAAGAAGGTATTTTTTATAATTTGTTTTGACTGTGTAGGGTGTAACAGAAACATGAAATAGGTTGCAATCAATAAACTATTAATAACTTTAGCGACACTATAGGAATATGTTTAAAGTTGAAGGTAGTAGCCATGTGTGAGTTATATGTTCAAAAAAGAGGTAAATAAAACAAGGGTGGTCCTTAAGATCTCACAAGAGTAATTTAATACGACTGGTTTCCAGATCAGATCCTCATCATCAGGTATGGTCTAAAATAGAGAGGTAAAAACGAATGAGCTCATAACTAATAAAGTGGGTTTAAAAATTATGAAAGTTGTCAAATATCAAGAACTTACCCGTATTACTCATCTATTTAAGACTAAGCTTAGAGATTATCACAGGGTCGGTGTGAAAAAACAAGTATGCGAGTATTTTTTAAGAAATGCATAAAAACAGTAGTTACAACATAAAGTTGATGTCAAAACACAAGTAGGTCTAAAACTATTAATTAAAATTATTAAAATATTTCACGAACGGACAGACATTAAGACAAAACAAATTTAAAACTTTTTTAAACCCTACAAGAACTAAAATGGGTTCTTAGACAACATGAAGTGTTTATAATTCTGAAGGCATAATTTTTATTTATTTTAGATTAAAGATACTAATTAACGCCCTCTAGATATAAATAGACGAATTAACAATTCTAATATTTAAGAAAAACAGTTTAGAGGTTGTCAAATTTAAATATTTTGACATCGGCTAATAGATGGCGTTGGATAAATAAATGTTTCTTAATTAATAATATAGGTTTTAAAATGAATTATTTGAATTTGTATGTAATAATAAACAAAATGAAATAAATTAATTATTATTGTTACACGTAGAGTCTAGCATTAGCGTCGGAAAATAATTTTTAGATGTACTTAATGTTCAAATTAAGAAGTTGGTAACATATCAACGGAAAAAGAAAGGAAAGTGGTATTAAAAGGAAAAAAAGAAAGCGAAAACTATTGATTTGGTTAGTTGTTTTTTTGAAGTAATGGGCTGAAAAATGAAAATGGAAAATGGAGACAGAATAAAAATAGGGAATAGATAAGATAAGTATAACTAATAATTAAAGTCAATAGAATTTCATAGGGAGATTTTAAAGTAAAAAGGGGGGTAATTTAAGGGAAAACGTAGATTTTTTAAAAAAGAACTGAGAACGTGGGTGTGGATTCGGAAAAGACTTGTGAGTTTAGTGATAATGCATTGGTACTTTTTCTTAATCTAAATATTTCTAGGTTCTCCAAATTATTCAATATCAACTTGTTGTGGCAAATGTGGAGTACCCTAAAGCCATCCCCTGACTCAAAATCGTGATTGGACTCTACTAGATGGGTGGCAAAATGTGAGAAGCCGGTTGTGGCAGTATTCAAACATCTTAAATGTTCTTTAAGTCTAGTCCTAAAATTACGAAAGGTTCTACCTACATATTTGGCTGGGCAAGACTTACAACTGAGTTCATATATGCCTGGTTGATCCATGATGTCCACTTTATCTTTATTCTTGATGAAAAAGTTACTAATTGAGTTGGAGGATTTAAAAGAAATTTTGAAGTGATTTTTGAGGATATTGGATATTGGAGTCTCCATCTGATGATATTTCCGCAAGTTTAGCAAGATCAGTATTAATAGCCCGAGATGATTCCATTACTTTGTCATGACTAAAGGAGTAATAAATTTGCGTATCATCTGCGTAGAAGTGGTGGTAGCAAAATTTAAGTGCATATTGGAAGTTACTGGTATATAGGGTGTATAACAGTGGCCCGAGTATACTTTCTTGTGGAACTCCTATTGTTAAATCAATTTTTTGAGATTTTTTCATACCTATTTCAACCGCTTTAAATCTATCATTTAAAAAAGAGCTAACAAGTTTTGTAGCAGTATCAGAAAAACCTAGATAATGTATGATTCAGCTTATCAAATGCTTTAAAGTAATCCAGTAAAATATTGAACAAATCTTATAATTATAAAATAATAAACGTCTTTTACTTTTATATCAAATAATTAATTAATGCATAAGGAATTATATTTTGGTGCCGAAATCTCACTATTGCTATTATTTACCCTAACTACCTCAATGTAAATAAACCACATTATACTATTTGCGCGTGGACTGTAACATTTCAGATAATTTGCCAAGCTATTTCGCTCAGTGTAGAAAATAAGCAGATTTTCTCAGCGTATTAAGTTGTTTATTGATAATATTCATGCTGTGGAAAAGGTCCAACCGATATCAAAAGCACCGACAGTTAGCGTCGCTTCTCCTTGATCGGTATTCTCGGGTGGCATATTGCTCTAGGGCGGGAGTAACTGGAGAAAGGCCATAGAACTCTTCCCGTGTACCGTGCCCCGAAGGGAATGCTGTTCTGAGGTCAGCTGTAGTGAAATTGATGCTTGGATTTTTAGTTACTACGCAAATTGTAGTGGTTCATTTTGGTTATAAAATTAATTAAAATATATTGAATAAATGAATAACGTCAATAAATTGTGTTAGCTAGAATGAATAAAGTTAATATTCTAAACAAGTGAATTTACTATAAAATAAAAATAATAATAAAAGCATGTTTCATCAAGCGGGTTTGGCAAGGAAATGTGAACGTCGATTAGCAAGTAACCGACAATTAGTACAATGGTACCAATAAATTAGAAATAATTAAATAAAAAAAAAATAGCCCTGCTACTGTAAACAGAGTGTCTCCGAATGGCTGTAAAATAAAACAAACTAACAAGGTCAAGGTCCCGTTCGCCAGAAAACCAATAAAAGTTTAAAGCCCAAAATGTAAACAAAGCCGGAGGACTTTAGCAACCAACAATATTAATGACAATGGCACTTAAAAAGTATGGCTGGTGATCTTTGACACTTGTCAGTCCGACCTGTGGAGAGAAGAAAATCGGTTAGGAGCTCCGCGCCAAAATACTTCCAAGCAAGAATGAAAATGGAAGAAAAAATAAATGGAGACATTCTTAACACTTTTTAAATGGGAAACGATGTACGTAATTAGAACGGACTCACCCAGTGTAATTATCCTACGAAGGAACTCTAAGAGAGAGGATCGCCAGGAAACAGTGGAGAATGCGAAAATGTCGGCTTTTTTCTCAGACCACTTCGCTAGAATCCTCTGTTTTCTTAGTACGCCCGTCTGTCGATCGACGCAGGCAATCGTGGTGCTGTGATTATTCAAAAAAAAAAAAAAAAATACGTGTGGCACTCGGGGACTGCCTCGGTAAAGCTATTGCATAGCATTTTTTATCAACTTATGCAATTATAATTATTTATTTTATTTATGCAGTATTTTTTTTATTTGATATTAATTCAAGTTTTTTCTTTGATATTAATTTAAGTTACACTTTTTGAGCGTGGTGACCGATAAGAAAACATTTTTTTTTCTTTTATTGAATAAATGAGAAGTTAATATTATTTAAAATATTTTTATTATCTTACAATACATGTAGGTTATTCAGGAATTTTTATTCATTGAAACTGTAGGTTTATGGTAACTGAAATAAGAAACATAAGTTTGAGACTTGATATCCTCTAAATATCTGATAAATACCGCGTCAATGGTGGTCCCATATTTTGTTGTGGATTCTTGTGGATCATTATTCATTTTTTAATTTATTTTTCCGAAATTGTTTTTAAAAGAGATAGAATCAGTTATGAGCAGTTAGCAGCTAGTCTACACGCATACGCCTAGTCGCACGCACACAAACACCGTGCCAAAGTCTGCCGAACTGAAACGACATTAGACAATGCACGGATTTCAACGCCGCACCATTGTACCGGTCGGAGTGGTGGGTGTTAGGTTTATTTTCGTTACGGAATTTCTTTTTCGATTTTTCAGTTTTTCGATTTTTCGATTTTCTTTTATTGAATAAATGAGAAGTTAATATTGTTTAACGCCGCACCGCTGTGCCGGTCGGAGTGGGGGGTGTGTTAGGTTTTTTCGTTACGGAATTTCTTGAGCTTGAGCTATGCAATAGCTTAAAAATTAATATTTTTTCTTACGATCACTTAGGAAAGTGACACATGTCACACTATATAGTCCTATGGAAAGTGCCCTATATCACACGCGTATGAATAAGAATTTAATTTCCACCCGTGTACGAATATGCTACTTGCCGCAGTAGCTGTCACAAAATGTCAAATGCATCATTTCTATTTTGATCTTTGTAATGTCCATATTAATACTAAAATCGATATGATTGTTAAATTATTGAAATTGTTGTAAATTAGATCCTAGATATTTATCTTTAACAATTATTATAAAAATAATTTTAAAATAACCAAGATATGTTTGCTCTTTATTCTTGTTAAACACATAACCGATTAGATCATTAAATTGACGCATGGCCTATTAGTTTAGATGAGATGAGAGCGTCAAACTTATCAACTTTGCCATTTGAGACCTGGCGAGCGACCGCGTTCAAATCACGGCGGGGCCAGAATTTTTTTTTATTTTTTTTGTTTTTTAATTTTTTTTTTGTTTGGAAATGTAATATACCATATAAATCTTGCTAAACATTTGTGATACCAATTTATTAGAAGCCAGAGAAAGCTCTTCTAGTTCTTGTATTTCATAAATGTTCCAGTCCGCAGACGTATATTTAACTCCGCTTCATACTAATACGAATAGGGTTTTTTTTTCGTTACGGTGTTACGAAATTTCTTAATTCGGTCGCCACTCAAAGCCCGCGATAAAAGCTATGCAATAGCTTAAAAAAAACCAATTGGAACTTGAAGTAATCCATTTGGCAATGAGACATTGACCGGCATAGAAATCGAATTTGCATTACTGTTAGAGTCAGCGAATTAGGATATCGCCGCCGCTGGGGTCGGCAATACCACGTCTACCCGTTTCAGTGTCCAGGACCAGGAGAGAGCGCCGAGAGTGGGGACTTGACTTTCGACCAGCCGAACGCGATGAAGTGATAGGCCTTATTCCCTTTAAAGACATTCTTTATTTTGTTCCTTAATTAATTAGATTTTAAACATTGTTTACGAGATATTTAATAAAACGTTATAAAACCATGTTAACACGTGTTTTATGAAGTGGCTATACAGGGTGTTATAGTATACAGGTTGCTAAATCATTTTAAAACAATAATTTTGAAGTTAATTCTTTTAACTTCTAACACTATAATAAAATTGTTTTTCTTTTTTGCAGAAGTGTATCCGAAAAAATACTTCCTACACAATGGCCAATCGCTGACTGTCAATATAGAAACTTCCACACGGATGACCCACCTTTTAACCAGTCACATATTTTTTATATTTGCGAAAGAAGTTTTAGGCTACACCAAAGTCAACATCACATATCAAGAGGACTACTTTAAAATCGAAGATGTTATGGGACGGCTCTCGCATTATAAGAATCGTTCAGTCCCGTAAGTAGTTTATTTTTATAACCAACGAATATATCAAAAATGCTGCACTTATGTTTCTAAATTAGACCTTGGAACGACGCATGTCGGAGCAGTTTTCTTTTTAAGTTTTGATTTAATTCAGAACCGTCGGTAGTCACGGACATGACTTGTATTTTTTTTTTTACAGTCATCTCCTATATTCTTCTTGAAATCGTTATAAAATTAGGCAAGTTGCGGACATCTAGTCTTTTTATCTTGGGTTCCGCAAGTCCGCGCATGCGCATTTTATTTGCGGATTTTTAGGAAGGCCATGAAAAGTGTCCGCAACTTGCGGAAACGTAGGCGTAATTGCTAACGCTCCGCAAATTGTGGACTCCTAGGAATATAGACTTAAGGTTTCACAATTTATGGATTGGCCCAAAAATGAAATTAAAACATGGTTGTGTGAACGCTTTTTTCAAGATATATTTGTAATATTTACCAATTTATTTATTTGGTATACAGAGCGTAAAAATATATAGGATAACAAACGAGCTTAGTCTAGGGCAAATAGATCAAATCTAGACACACATTTTAAACTATTAAATTAATTTATATATGTTATGGTAAAAGTTCAAACTTTCACACCCCAATTTTTATTACAGATTTATCACAAATTTAGGTTTTTTAAATTAAAACCTTGGATGGTATTTAAATAAATAAAAAAAATCAATGTAAGTATATGTATTTATTAAAAAAATGTATCAAATGGACAGGTACATATTTTGGTTTAAGAATCAGGTAGGCACAGGGTAATTCAAAATAAATGGACCACAGCTGTTGACATTTAATCATTGTTTTTTTAAACTTCTGATGCTGTGTGCAAGTAGGTTCAGAATATCTAATAGATTTTATTGAAGACTGGCCAAGGCTTTCGGTTTCGATATCATTATTATTAGCCTTATCATGAACGTTGTTATTATAAGCAATATTTTCTTGTATGGCATAGTTTTTGATGTAAGTTTCTTTTAAAAATCTATGTGGTACTAAACTTTCACAATAAAGGCTTAGATTTTTTACTTCTAACTTAAATATATGTGCACATGTCAATTTCAGTTCAGTGTAATACATGCATTCACACGATGTTTCACTCACTTAAATTTGTGCCTTAAAAATTAAAGCTCCACTTTCATTAACATCTACAGTAATTTTTTTTAGATTTCTGGTAACTTTTTTGAACACAGCTAAAAGCGAGTGGAGTCAGAAGTTTAAAGAACTTTTCCTCCACAGGATCAAGATTTAGAGCAACTGATCTTTTATACAACATTTGGGTACCTAATGATTTTTTTTCGCAGTTAACTGAGTTGAGTAAATTTAAAAATTCTTCATACAAATCTTGCAAGTTATTTAATTTGGAACACACTCCCTTTATTTTTTGATTAAACGATTCTAAATGATTATTTGTATAAACACCATAAGTCGGAAATTTTCCCATAAAACATTTTACCCATTCATTTCTACAGCTGTGCCAGTTATGTTGATAATATTTTTCCACTAAAAGAAAATTTAAATCTAGCAGTGATTTATACAATTTTTCATATTCTTCTTCACTGTTTGAATACACTAACTTTTGTAGAAGAGTTAGCACGACATCTCTTTGTGGAGAGTTTATTCACATGAAAAATGCACAATAATAGTGCCGAATTAGGAAATTCTTGTCTCAAGACTTGCCTCTCACAAAAATCCTTATCAGTTATTAAAACTGATACCGAAGACAATGCTGGGTTTTCCGATTTGAATAGCTGGATCATATTTAAAATATTAATACTAGTTTCTTGCTGTACGATAAAAGTAGCTGCAACTTTCCCTTGCCCATTGCCGTCAACCACCATACAAATGTACATTGGCATTCGTAAATTATTTAGTTTATATGTGGCGTCAAACAACAGTAGTTCTGGATAGTTAGCAAAACATTTTTTCATAAACTTACTTTGGTAATATATTCCTGTTAATGCATTTTGTTCATCAGTAAGTACCTGAACAACAGAATCTAAGTCTGCATGCAATAAATTCATTACTTTCTGTAGATCAGTGTCTCCAAAAAAATAATCAATGTAAGTATATGTATTTATTAAAAAAATGAATATTTGTTAAATCTTTTAAAAGTATATTTTTTCCTGATTTTTGCTTCATATATTCCTTTATTAAAGTTTTGTTACACTTTAATAACTTAAGCTTAAGAACTTCACATTTTTCCTCCACGTCCAATTTTCTTTGTTTTGGCAGCGTACTGAAAATCTATTCATCAATGGGATGATTATGTTCACTCTCTATATTGGTGAGCACCAGTTTCTGACCATCATTCGATAACGTGAACTTTAAAAACATTGGCAATTTTCTCTAAAAGTGCTAAAACAAGGAAAACCCACGTAAATTTTAAAGGAGCCAAATATTGGGTCTCCTGTACATTTTGGAACATGTTTTCTGAAGATTTTATTGGCCATTTTAGCAACATTCGAGTAGGCATACTAGTCTGCGTTTAAAGTTTATTTCATTGTAAAAATATTGTAGTAAATCGAGAATCAAATCAAATCAAAATTTATTTCTTTAAATTTTAAAGTACATTACCTAATAGTAAAAAAAATAGTTATACAAAAAAAGAATTCTTCAAAGACATCTGATTGAGCATCGAACCTAGGCATTTCTGTTTTGCTTCTGATCAATCAGATGACTATTTATGTACATCTTTTTTTAGAGACAGGTATTGAATTTTACATATAATTATTTATCACTTAACAAAAGATACAATATTTAAAAATAAGAACAAGGGACGAAGAAATTCGACAGAATAAACCGATAAATAATAATAATAATAATAATAATAATACTCTCCCTAATTCACCCCCTTACGAGTGAATTTTAACCCCAAAAGCTGAGCTTGTCCGGGGAAAGGGACGGCTATTATTATTATTTGCCGTGGCGCTCCGGGGCGACTTGAAGATGATTGATGGTGCCATTTGACTTACAGGTGAGGAAAACCCGGAAAACCTCACCCACCATCATCGAGACGGTAATGTATGGTGAATTTTTTTAATCTGCATGTCATATCAACAGAAATTGAATTTCTATTAATATGCCACACATCAAATCCTAAACCGAACCATGCAATTTAATTAAAAATCCACATGGTCTGGTCTGGGATTCGAAACCCAGCAGTCTCAGACTCATAAACTTGCCTATAAATGAATATAAGCGCGATAGACCGCTACACCACCAGATAAATAAAAAATAGACAGTATCTTAGGAAAAGTAGACAAAAACTACGAAGGGTCTTTTGGCTTTTAATATGTTTTTTATTTATACTATGTTATCATTAGATCGTAGTTTTTTTTTTATTTGTTATTAAATATTTTTTTATTTTAATTTTAAACTTTTTTGTTTTGATTATTTGCTTGAGGTGTATCGGAATTATGTTAAAAAAATTTGGGCCAAAGAATGATAATGACCTTTGACTAAGTGATTTTTTGAAAAATTGTACAGGAATCTCCACATTAGCGACTGAGCGTGTTAAGCGGGTATTTTTTTGAGTAAAATTTTCAGCATTGGTATATATTCTCATTATACATTGATAAGCAAAAAGTAATTTGACGTTTAGTATGTTCGATTCATCGTACAATTTATTTGTAGAAAATAGTCTCTTTTTTTTAGGATAATTTTTAAAATAATATTTTGTGTTGTCTCTACAATTTTAATAGTGGTGTTAAATGCACTGCTAATATGCAATACCTTAATATAGATTCCACTAGGGAGTTATAAAGTATCATTATATTTTTCTTTGAAAGAATGTCCCTGAGAACATAAAATTTGTGCATTAGGGCTCTCAGTCTATTACTAACATTGACAATATGCTCAGACCAACGTATGTATTGATCAAGTATTACACCTAGGTATTTAATTTGAGAAACTTTTTCTACCAAGGGGCAGTTACAATCGTTTTTTTTTGACAGTCACTACTATGCAATTTTATACAAAAGCTGTTAGGTTGATTGACGATGGTTGAACTAAAAGTAATGCATTTTGTTTTCAATACATTTAAAGTTAGTAGATTGTTATTTAACCATACATTTATCTTTCTCAGGGCCGTTTTTCCAGTGAATTTAACCTCTTCCCGTTCTTTTCCAGCGAAAATAATTACCGTATCATCCGCATAGCATATGATATTTCCAGATAAGTTATTAATTTGTGTAATGTTGTTCATATAGACCAGAAACAGAATTGGGCCCAATACTGTTCCTTGTGGGACCCCCATCTTTACTACTGATTTAGAACTTCCGGCGTTGCCAATTTTTACGCTCTGGGTTCTATTAGATAAATAATCCCTCAGGAGCCTTAATGCTAAACCCCGTATGCCATAGTTATACGGGTGTGAAGTTATCCACATCCACAAATGTACACTGAGAAAAATATAACTCTATCGTAATAGTCATATAACTTGGTTCAAATTACCTGTAGAGGCTTTTCATTTGTAAATTTCAATTGGGGAGGTTTCAATACACAGCAACCATACCCGCAATTAACTTTTGCTTTGTCTCAGGGGGTGCAATTGGGGGTAAATTTAAAAAAAAAATCATAGAAGCCACAAATGGCTTTGTACACCTTTCTGCTTGGGATATGTTATGTAGTTTACTCTTTTCTTCATCCCTGATACCATGCTGGAGTTTGTCGAGCCGTCTGAGGGGGTGCAATTGGGGATGAAATTAAAAAAAAACATAAAAGCCACAAATAGCTTTGTACACCTTTCTGCTTGGGATATGTTATGTAATTTTCTCTTTTTTTCATCCATGATAGCATGCTGGAGTTTGTCGAGCCGTCTGAGGGGGTGCAATTGGGGGTGAAATAAAAAAAATCATAGAAGCCACAAATGGCTTTGTACACCTTTCTGCAAGCGATATGTTATGTAGTTTGCTCTTTTCTTCATCCCAGATACCATGCTGGAGTTCGTCGAGTCGTCTGAGGGAGTGCAATTGGGGATGAAATTTAAA